GGACATTTAAAAGCCTCCATTTAGATTCTGGGCTGGCTATTTGAACTTAAACTAATAAAACTTTTTTATTATTCAGTTTTTCTATACGTAAAAATGAAAAATACGTCACCCTACAAAAAAACATAAATCACTTCAGAGACATCTGAAGTGGGGGCATCTCCAAGCGGCATCTGGAAAAAATTTATTAACAATTAACCATTTATTGGGTTATACTATGTTGCAGACCTAAATGTTGTGGTCCTAAGAAAACCTTGCATTACCAAAAATGATTTATAAAAACAACAGCTTCAGTGGGGAAAGTGATCACGGTAGCATTTGAACCCACCACCCGGAAGTTAGCTCCACCGCAGACTGCAAAGAACACGGTTGTTTGTGTCGTGTAGCCATAAAGGTGACCTTACAGTCCCCAAACTGGCTGAGCCAAGTTTTGGACAAAGTTTTATCTGATGCTGAAATTCATGCTCTTAAACCACTGCGCCCTATCTGTGATGGTTTTAATCATCAAAATTGGTGGTATTTTGGTTCATCTTTCTCCATCTCATCTGTCGCCTCCCTATCCCCATGGGACGGCTCTGCCCACCTGGCGCTCTGACCCTGTGCTCGCCCCTGCCTCACCCCACAGCCCCTCCCCCACTTCTCCAGGCCTTACGGGGACTGTTTGCTGCTTGGAGTCCTCTTTGCTCCTCATCCCATAGGAACTTGAAAGCCAACAGGGCCGGCAGGGAACAGGAAGCGGTGATGTGGGGGCCCACAGGCCCCTCGGGGGAGCGCCTCCCTAGCACAGCACCAGAGCTGACATTTTAAGGGAACCGGAAATCGGAAATTTGTGTGAACATCTCCACATTTTTAAAGGTAGGCAACAAATCTGAGAAATTTTAAAACCCTGTGAGGGGAAAAGAAAGTGTGCAGCCAGATTGGGCCACAGGCTTCCAATCAGTGACGTGCGTGCGCCCAGGACCTTCCCTCAGTAATCGATGTCTTCACCCCTGCCTGCGGCTTCCCCTCAGCCCGACTGCTCTCTCACGTCCACGCTCCCCGCCACTCTGGACATCTTCATCTGAAAGTCCAGCTGATGCCTCAAACTCAAAATTGAACCCACCTTTCCCTGGAAACCCCTTCTCCTCCAGACTTCCCTGTGTTAAAAGAACCACTTCTCTTCCTTTCTCCGAGATTCAAAGACTCAGGCATCAACATACACAAATTCCTCCTGAGAAGCCCCTGCATCCGGTCCCACACGAACGACGCAGGACCGCAAGGCACGGCCTCTGACCCTAAGAGGCTCACGGTCTGGTGGGGAGACCAGGACAACACAGGAGAAACGCTCAGGGCCCGGGCAGTAGAGACGGGATCCATCAGGGCACCGCAGGACTCACCGGTGCACTCCGTCGACCCTGCTGACTTCCTCACTGCCCGAGCCCGTGGTTAGAACCACAAAGCAAGCACTGGAGACAGAGTTCTGACAAATATGGAGATTTTTGCTCTCATGCAACTAACTGGGGAGGTTGGCAAACACCAAGTCAGCAATTACAAGATACTCTCAGTTGGGGGAACACCCTCTATGCTGCCGTGCGTCCCAGCGAGGAGGGGGACGGGTCGACACAGCCAGAGGGCACCTCTCTCCAATTCCAGCAAAGGCATTTGAGGTCTCGCGGTGGCCCTGCATCTTACAGAGGGAAAGGGAGTGACACGGGGACCACCTCAGATGAGGGGCTGGGACGGTCTTGGGCTGAGATCCAAACGATGAGGCCGTCGAAAGGGAGGGTCTCCAGCGCAGAGAACATGCAGTGAGCAGCCCCAGGCAGAGACGACTGGCGAGTGTGGGGAGTGGAAGAGGCTGGTGGGAGAGGAGCCTGTGTGCAGACACATAGCATCTGGAGGGTCTCAGCTTTCTTGGAGGGTGTGTGGGGTCTGAGGGGGGGAGGTGGGGGTGAGTGTTAGGAAATGAGTTAGAAAGAGAAGCTTCCCTCCGGATCGTGGAGGGTACAGTAATAAGACAACAAAGAGCCAAACGTGGGAGAGGGGGTTCCATGATCGGAGATTTGTTTCCTTTGCTTTTTGTTTTTAGGGAAGATAATCCTAGTGGTGGCTAGCAGGTCAGTCAGGAGGTCACTATAACAGTCAGGGAGAAAAACGGAAGGAATAAAGACAGGAACAACCGACAGGAGATATCACTGGAGAAGAGCAGCAGGGCCCGGCGTCCGGCTGGATCTGGGACAGAGCGTCAGGAAGGCCCCAACAGCCGCCGGGCTGCCTCCGCCTCGGCCACAGCCTCGGTCCCCAAGGGCTGCCCGGGCCCCTCCGCCAGTCTCTTGGTCCCCCTTCCTTCCGTCCGTGGACCCTGCCCAGTCCCCAGATCCCCTCTCCCTGGCTCTGAACTGAGTGGTGCCTGATAATGTGTCCACGGCGCTTCTCCCGTGTGTCACGGGCTTTATTACGTGTGTGCTGTCTTATCCACATGGCGGGGAAGCTACTTGAAGACAAGAGGCAAGTGTTGTTTATCTTCTTGCGATTCCCATAGACAATTCCTGCAGCACAACAGCGGAAGGAAAACAGAATCGACACGGAGAGCAGCCTCACGCTGTTGCCGAGGGGCCGCTTCTGACACGCCACCTCAAACACACGCGGGTTGTCCCAGGACCAGTCACTCCCAAGGGCAACCTCCCTCCAAACAGAGTCAGCCGTGGCTGCACTTAAGGCAGTTCTAACATTCACTGGGGACATTCCTCTTCTACCAGGAACTCCTAATAATAAGGCTCAAGAAATGCAACCACCTGCTCCCAGTAATCACAGAAACAAATAAATAAAGTTGCCAAGTAAAGCAATAGAAGAACAAGCAAAAGGCCAAGTCCCCAGTGTCTAGTGCGGGGAGCATGGTGCCTGCCCCCGGCCCCGTGCTCTCAGGATGGGCCCTGAGCCCGCTCCCCACCTCCCACCACTGAGCGGGAGCTGGGAGGCACCGAGGAGAAGCAGCAAATCACCCAAATAAGAGAAGCTTATCTTGCAAGGTCATCTCTCCTATTAAGAAGGGAGGGAAAAGGTGTTTGTGCTAACTTTGGCTGGATCGCTAATCTCCAACTCTGGCTGTGCCGGACAGTCTGTAAGGATCCAGACACACTTTTCCCTGCTTTGGCATAAAGTGTAAAGTACATGCGGAAATGGCACGGCAATCGTGGAGCACAGCATTCCACATTTTCATCTGCATTCCTGATTTGCATTTTAGCTTCGAGGAAACTTGCTTTACAGCAAGGAACATTTGGTGGAAGAGAAAAGGAGTGAAGAGTGGAGAGACCATATCATCATCTGATCACCGGTTATAACAGCCCAGGAGGCGCAGGAGGTCTGAGGGAGCCCCTTTCAACAGGCCGCCCCCAAGTGGCAATCAGACACCGCAGTGCCCACAGGAAAGGGGAGGAGGCCAGGAAGGCAAGACGCTCTCTGTACATCCTGGTTAATTTACAATTAACAAAGAGCAAGGGACCACGGGAGCCAGGTTCCCTGAGTTCGTAATGAGAAAAAGCAAAGGAGTTATTCTGGAAGGACTTCTAATGTGAAGGAGGGGTATTCACAGCACTAAAGGCTAAGCAGCAATCGAAGTCTTCCTCCGACGCTCTTTTCTCCCCGAGGCCTGTGAAAACGCAGGAAAGTGAGGGTGGCTTTTACTATACAAATATCCCGAAAAGATTTTAAGCACGAAAACTTCAGTAGTTTATTCTGAAAGATAAATTTCTCACGGTTCACCTCTCGAGTGAAGAGAGAGCCTGTGCCCGGGAGAGAATGTCTGCTATTGAGGACATGGTCCCAGGGAGCAGGGGAATGACCCGACTTCTGCCCCATGGCCGTGGGGGCCCAGGGCTGGGCGGGCCGTGCAGACCCCATCATCTAAGTGTTCTTGTCAGAGAGCATGAGGGACCTAACATGAAAATGCACCCTCCCCTCGCTACTCCACGTGTGGCTTGCTGACCAGCAGGACCAGCAAAGTTGGTGTCGCCTGGAGGCCGGTAAGAAATGCAGCACCTGGGTCTCAGCCCATTCTTGCTGAATCAGAATCTGCATTTTCATAGGATCCCAGTGAAGCGTGTCCACTTTGAAGTTGGAGAAGCCCTGCCCCAGAACCGACAGACGATGGATCAGCCTCCACTCCAACGTCTCTCCAACTACTGCCAAGTCCGTGTCAGCCCGTCTCCCATCCCGGCATCAAAGATAACAACAACGTAAAGCGAATCAGCAGCAGAGGGGATCTGCAAACCTCGCAAAAGACGCAGGATTTCACAGAATTAATAGACGTGATCTCAGAGAACCGCTCGAATCACAGAGCGAGCCTCGGGAAGCGCGGGGATGGCAGCCGTGGAGCCCTCACAGGCGGAGAGGAGCCAGTCGGAGACATTCCTTCCAAAGAGAATGATTTGAATACCAAAGAAGTAAGCCAGGCCCTTGGGGAAAATGAGGAGGGTCAAGAATACCTTTGTAAAAATGACCCGCTTTATGACTGTGCTCTGAACGTCAGACAGACAATTTTCCTGAGAAACTGTGCTCCAAAAGCACTCAACACCTCATCCGGTCTTCCATCGTCCAAGGAGGAACACATTGTTTTAATTTTAACTTAAATGATATGATGTGAGATAAGTTGTACTTTCATAAATTTTAGTTTCATTTTTCAAGACAAAGTCTGATGAAAACCCATCGCCATTTCTCGTGATGCTCAGTCCTGGTCTCAAGGGTGCTCAGGCTGCCTGGCCTCTCCCATGGCCAGTCTTCCCCAACAGTAAGAGCCGCTGGACTCTGACACTCGCTGGGGCACATCCCTTTCTCTTTTTCCCTCTGGGACTTCTTTTTGGTACCAATGAGCAGTGTGGGATCATGGATACCAACCTACTCCCCAGTTTGGTGCCAAGTTCCTTTACTGTTCCCTTTCCTGGCCAGCTGTGTGGCGCACTGGGACGCCCTGGCAGGCGTCCACCACGGGGGTAAGGCTCTAGTGGCAGAGTCTGTCTGGCAGTTACCTTGTCGACCATGAGGAAGTGCTCCAGCGTCTCTCCGTTCTCACATGTGACATCGCCAACCTCTCTGACGGCTGCAGGCAGGATCTCTCTTACCTCCTGGGCAATCATTCCTTGAAACAAAACACCCCACAGGTTTAGTCAGGAAAAGACCATTCTGGACAACCTCCTCCAATGCCTAAGCAGAATGGAAGACGGAAGCCACCCAGACACCTTGCAAGTACCTGCTTATCCCTCCTCAGCTTTTGCTTTGATCTACGATGCTTTAGAAGCAAAAATGGAATTGTGAGCCAAGAGCCACTGCGGGATTAAAAATGCAGTGTCATTTTCCCTGAGACTCTGGGCCGCATGTGGGGAGGGCTGAGGGAACACCCTGGACTCCAGGCCGCATGTGGGGAGGGCTGAGCGAACACCCTGGACTCCAGGCCGCATGTGGGGAGGGCTGAGCGAACACCCTGGAAACCCTGGGCGCTGGCTTCCTTTCTTTTCCTGCAGGAGAACTTTGAAGTGGTCCCTCTGTCTTTAGGATTCCTGCCTTGGGGCATGAGCACCACTTGACCCCTTCTCTGACCTCGACCCCCCTGCCTGCCACCTTCTCGCTCCATCCCACAACTGCCCAGTGCTGCCCCTCATGCAGTCCGAGCTGCCGTCTGCCCTCAGCCCTCATCCCGGGAGCAAGGGGCCCCAAGTGAACAGAAACAGTGCATTCCAAATAGTGCCCCAGGACCCGGGGCGCAGGGGTCGGGGTGCGGGGTCAAGTGAAGACGACAGAGGAGTTTCCTTTAACTTTCCTGTTCTGGTGAGGCTGGGCTTCACAGGGCACGAGTGAGACCAACAAGACGTTGTGCAGTGCCCTAGCACGCAGGCTCCAGGTAGATCGGGCTTTAGTCGTCGACAATACAAAGGTAACAAGGGGATTGTGCGCGTACCTGTTTGATGCGCAGCGTTTATCCCCATGGCAGACGCAAACTCAGGTTTGTAGTCGTATTCAACAATCCTCATTTGGGCTATTCTCCTCAGCTGTTCATTTGTGTCAACCTAATTTAATTTAAAAAGAGCACATTTCACCCGCTTAGATATTCGCTGCTCAAATCAATGAGTGACCCACAGAGATCAGGAACACGGACAGTGGGACTGTCCTTTCCCCTGGCCCAAGCTATTTTAAGAGAAATTTATGTCTTTCTTCTCAGATGAGCCAGAGTTCCAAGGCTCACGTCAGTCACCTCCATCCTCTGACTTACAAATGAGCCGGTTTCTCGGTCTAAACTGCAGGGCAAAGCCTGCTCCCACCTCACTTCTCTCCTGAGACGGGAACCCTCCCTCCGAGAATGGACACTGCTGCTCGGGATGGCACCACATCACTTTGAGATAAACACACAGTATAAACAAACACAGGTCAATCCTGCTCATAAATTGACAACGCAATGCTTGGTTCAAGTAACAGCCTCTGGGGTGTGGACATAGCCTCCGTCACTGAATCACAGGAGAAGACTTCCTCAAGTGGCAGATTACAGGCCCCAACCACACACCTGCTGGGCCTTCGAGACCCTTCCCCTCCTACAGATGGCTCCTCCCGGACCGCCCTGCTCAGTGATGGCATCCTCCTCTGAGCTCACTGCGCCTGCAGGTTGTTAAAGGCGTTCCCAACTGTCACTGCAAAGTCCTCAGAAAAGTTTCTCTGGGTCCCAGCAAGATGATAGCAATGAAGACAACAGGATGAATTTTCCTCAAAGCTTAATGTGTTTCATTTGGATTCCCCTTGGAGTTGTGTTTCCACAAATTGATGTTATAGCAGGATCGATTTTTATTTTACATGACCTTATTCAACAAGTAAAGGGTTGGCAGGCCTATGTGGGTTCCCTAAATTTTCTTTTAGAACTTAACTGTATTATGAAACCAGTGGTCTCCTGGCAATTAAAATTATACTGCCTGGACATGCACCCACGTGTTAGAGCAACCCCAAAATGCTTTGCTGTTGTTGTTGTAAGAAAACCCCTGCCACGGCCCTCAGCCCTCCCTGACCCACCCGTCAGGGAGCAGGAGAGCTCCTCCCACATCCTTAAAGGCTCCCCCCAACCTCCCCATCCCTCCTCCCGACCCCACCCCGTTTGCTGGTTGTCCAAGGTTGTGGCTTGATGCTTAATTGGCTGAAGGGACGGGCTTTCCTGCGGGTGTTTGTCGGGGGGAATAATTTTGACCTCACTGGTGTTTTGTAACTCCTGTTATCCAAAGCTTGGTTCAGTTCATTCATTCCTAGTTTTATTTAACTAACAGCCACCAGTTGCTTCAACACACCATGTGCTGCACCGAGAGCTGGGACTTCAAAAACGACTGAGTTTTGGGAGCTCGTGGTCCAGGCAGGAAGGCAGACCCACCACATATGCTCATCTGACGATGCGAGAAACCCAGGCGATGCTGGGGTATGAGCAGAGGGTCCTGGCAGCGCCACAGGGGTGTCTGATGTACCCTGGGGGACGGAAAGGGAGCTTCCTAGGGACAGTGGTCTCACTTCAGTTCCCAAACTGCCCCGCCTTTCACGCAAGACCTTGCTCCAGCGTCTTCCCTGCCTCAGAAGCTCCTCCTTCCCGCTTGCCTGCCTCCTCCTCCCCAGTTTAACATCCCTTCCCGAGGGGCAGCTCCTGACCCCAAGCCCAGGAAGGGCCCCTCTGCCCCTGTGCTAATGGCACCTGCTCTCTTTCTTCACAGCACCAACCAAAGCATCACAGGATGACCAGTTGTGTCCCCTGTATCATCTGTCTCCCCGGAGGGTGTTCACCCCGGAGGACGAGGACGCACTGGGGGCCCTGCTTCTCTGTTTGTCACCATCCCCCGAGTCTAGGACCATTCCTGCACGTAGCAAGGGCTCCACTAATACTTGCTAAATAAACCGATCACTCTAACATGGAATTAGTCAGGGAAAGGTATGGGCGCAGGCGGTAGAGAGTGTGAGACAGGCATGCCAGGCAGAGAGAACACTGAGAGCCGGGTCTGAGGCAGCAGGTCCCTGCACGGTGTCTGCGCAGGCCCAGCAGAGTTTGGCGTTGCTGGGCTGTGAAGCCTGAGGCCAGAGCAGGGAGGGCGTGCAGGCCACGCTAGGAAGGAACAGGCACGATCTCGGTCTGCCGTGTGCGCATTTTCCACCGTGAGTCCCTCCGCTCATTCGACAGTATTTAATGAGCAGCTACTGTGTGCCAGACACTGTCCCAGGCACCAGAGACTCACTGAGCAGCTCCTATCTGGACGTGAAATTGTAATAAAAGTTCCATTCCTCAGGGCAAGGCCTGGGCCTCGCTCATCTCAGGACCTGCTCGGCACCCAGCAAAGTGTCTGGCACGTAACAGCACCCAAAACCTCAACAAAGCAAAGGAGGAATGAGAGGACAGAGGTAGTAAGATTGCAGGCCTGTCCCTGACAAACAGAATGGAGGACAGGGGCCAATCAGGAGCCAGCCTGGCCTGGCCTTGCCCCAGCCAGGCCCTGTCCAGGTCCCCGCTCCCTACACCTTTGGGAGTCCTGGCCTCCTTCTTCTTATCCCCTTGGTCCTGCGTGGCCCCCGGGGGGGCCCCCGGGCGGAGGCCGTGTGGGCTCCTTTGCTGCAGGTGGAAAGCAGAGGAGGGTGCACCCTCCACAGGCCGTCCAGGCGTGGAGGGAAACGACCCTGGTGTCTAAGTTGGATCCCTGAATGCATCCTCCCCAGAAACACGTTGCTACACAAAGCCATGAGGTCCTATAGTATTATTACCATTGTATTTCAGATAGATTTGGGGCCAAAGAAAATTCTGAGGGTGGCTTGGGGATCCACCACCTTCTGGGACAAAGTTTCTCTAAGAAAACGCTCCTCTGATCTCTAACGCTGGCTGGTGGACGTTCCCAGAGGAAGATAAACAGCCTTCCCGCACGTCCCTGTGCCTACACTTGGCCTCTGGAGGACCCCTGAGGCCAGGGCTGCACCCCGGATCCTCCTCTAGGAAGCGCAGGCCAGCACTCGACGCCCAGCCTGCTCGTCCATGTGTGTTGAGCAGAAGCTGGAGACAGGACTCAGCATCTGATTCGATCTTGCCCACAGCAGTTCTGGAAAGTTCTGACCATGAATGCCGTCATGCTCCCTCACACCCAGGGTCTCTGCGTCATTAACTCAAGAAGCGCAGGGAAGACATTCCAGGCTGTGGGACTGTGCTTTGCTCAGGGCGGGCGAGCCCCTCACCCGTCATCTCCTGCGCCCACGCTGGGACCCTCAGGGCCCCTCATCCCCTCAGGAGCAGCTTGAGCGACGCTGGCTCACCTGAGCTGAGCTGAGCGACACCTGCACCTGTGCACAGTCCTGAGGGCAGCCTCTGCTGCCTGACTTTCTCAAGCTCTCACCCTTTGTCTGTGCTCGGCACTGCTGGCGCAGCTGGGAGAGAACAGAACAGCCTCTGAGCATCTCTTCTTCATCGACTTCTCCTCAGGCTTGTACTTTTCCTCGTTTGCGGCCACTTTTCCAGCCTTCACCGCACAGCTGACCGATGCACTCGACTTCCAGCTTCCTCAAGTTTCCCTCACGCCCCTTTGGGTCCAGCATCTCCTCTCCACCCTAGTCTGGCTCATTCCCGTAGCACTTCCTCTGGTCTGTAGCCGCATCAGGAGACAGTGCTGCTGTAGGGGAAGCGAGCTGCTCCTCACCTAGGCTGGCCTCATTTTCCCGGTACTTCAGTTTCAGGGTCTCAGTCTTACCCGCTTTATCTTCTCTGTGTCTTGGATGAGTGTCCAGATGGGCACCAGAGGTCTCCCCCCGGGACTCTGAGCAGAGAGCTTGTGTGCTCAGGAACCACAAAACGACCCACACTGCCCTAAGCGAAGACACAGTGCCAGCCGAGGCAGCGCTTGCAGTCTTGTCCCCGTCACAGTGTCGGGGAACACATCTGGCTGCCACACTTTGCAACGGTCCATCCAGGAGCCATCCCTGGTCACCATGCATCCTCACAGACGAGACCTCGCCGCAGTCCTCTGCTGCATCAGACCATCATCGGAAGGTCAGTGCCCAGCACACCTGGAAGGACGGCTCTCTTTTTAAAATTGGACAAACTGAGTCAGGGAGACATGAGGAGGACAGTCACACCCCTGTCAGCACCATCGTCAACATTACCATCAGCTCGTTGGTCTGTAATAAATGGTGAATGGGATAGACAAGATTTCTAGAGACATATTTCATAAATGTGGATAGATAGGTTAAGAGAAAATATATTAATATGAAATAATTTAATAAATAAATTACAAATAATTTTCGCTTTTTACAAGTAAGTAATAATAATATTTATTTGTTTAGCCTTGTACCGCTAAAAAATTATTCATATCTATGAGCTTAGAACCAGCCCTCAACACGAGTAACATGAACAGGAGCATCCTGTTGAGTAAGTGGAGGCACAGATCATCTCCGGCCACACTTCCTGGGCCCGTGGTTGCCAGAACCGGGACCGAAACGCAGCCTTCCCCCGCGGACTGGTCTTCTCTTACTCTCTCCTGCTGCTGTGAGCAGGAGCGGATCCGGGATTCCAGGGAGAGCCCGGACTGGGTGGCATTTCACTTTGCGCAAAAGGCTTCCTGGAAGAGACTTGAGAAGTTCTCGGGAAGCTTGCTATTTTAGGACCAGCGCACCATTTGAAGACGTTTGGTAAGTGATGTCCTGGGCAAAGCCTGGAGGGGGCGCAGGGCTTGCTGCCGTCCACCTCGTCGAGACAGGACTGGCCAGAACCGAGCACCACCGGCAGGGTACGGCTGAGTGGGTGTGATCTGAAACTCTCTCTGAGAGGGAGAGGCCACCAGGCAGGGCCGGGTCTGGAAACGTCTGTGAGAACTCTCCAGTCCTAAGGGTCCCATCCGGCTGGTAGGTCACAGCTCTTCTCACATGAGCCGCAGCTTCCCAGTTGGTGTAAAAGTCTAAATTACAACCATTGTCTGGAATTCTCTCAGCAAAGGAGGACTCTCCTTGGCTGGTTTAGAAAAACCAGTGCAGCTTTGCACGGGGAAAGGAATGGCCAGTGATTTACAAATTAAGTTTCCTATTAACCAAAAACAAGTAAGGAAAGGAGGTGTAAAAACATCATTCTGCCACAGCCTCAGAAACTCTTCTAGGAGGGGCTGTCCGTGAGCTGGCGGGCAGGTGGCAGCGGCCGTGAAGGGACAGAGTTAAATGTGGAAGGGCTGGGACCAGGAGTGACCTGGCATCTTCGTCCTAACCCCCCGGGTGCACTTGCGACTTTCCAAGACAATTCTGGACTTATTATCTCAAGGGGTCAAAAAATATAAGAGTTGGTGGGGTCAAGCAGAGAGGTATCATTTCCTTTTTAGAGATGAAGACAGTAATTTTCAGCAAGGGCAAGCATTTCATCCAAGGTCACATTGTGGGGCAAGCCCGAAATGGAGGAGCAGCCCCCTGATTTCTGACCTGTGATTTCCACTAGGCGGCTGCCTCTCCACAGAGGGAGGTCTGGGCAAAGCCTGGGCGATGCGGTTGACCGAGCGAGGCTGAGGAGGGACTTCTCCAACTACGCCTCAGAGAAAGAGAGTGGGGAGACAACGGCCGCAGGGCTGGTCCAAGGACTCGGGGAGGAAGAGGCTGGAGAGGCCCCGGACCTGCTGGGAAGGTGAGCAGGGAGATGGGAACCTGGAGCTGGGAAGGAAGGGCAAGCTCCAGCGGATGACAACGCATGGCAGGAAGGGCAACGGCCCAGAACATAACTCAGAGACGTCCTGCTCGTGAGGCCAGTGCTGCTATCACTGTCACTGCTCCTGTCAGGCAAACCCATTCTCTTGGGTCGGAACTGCTGCACAATTTCAGCAGAGATGCCCAACGGCTCTGACACACATAACTGCTCAGCATTATGTTCGCCTCACGCCACCAGATGACACGTAGAGTCGCCCCATGCAAGGCGTGTCAGAGGCCAGGAGTGCCCAGCATAGCTAACACAGGTGTCAGGAGGTGCCCGAGGCCTGCCTGTGCTCACCTCCTGGACATTCTGCTTCGCCCGGCTGTCAGACGGATGCATAACTGTCCCCATCACTTTCACGTTGCCACAGACAACCAGGGCTTCGTCCGGCGCATCTGTGTTTATTCCCACTCGACCATGACAGACAACAGATTCTGGAACTTGTCCTCGCTGCCACAATGCATCACTGTCATTTTCAAACTGCCCAGGGTTAGAGGCCTGGAAAAAATACACAAATATATTACATGAAAGCGACAGTAGCAGGAATAGAGGATCGCTTTATGCCTCGGAGCAAAGGAGAACAGAATGTTCTGGTTCACCGAGGATCACATGCTGGACGTGGCATTCTGACTTATCCATTTACCCTGTGGCCCCAGGAGAGCCGGGGCCCCCTGGCTGCTCTGCCCCCTGAGCAGGGACTCACTGGCCATGTGGAACCCCGAGTCCCTACCGCATCTGTCTGAAACTGAGAATGTGTCAGTTACACCAGGTGGATGATAAGGAAGAAGAAGAAAACTCAAAATGACTATTTTTGCAGAGATGATAATAATAATAATTTAAAACCAGAACTTTACATCAGGATATAACATAAATTTTTTAAAGCTCAGATAAATAAAATACCTTGCATTTAGTGAGCCCTTTTATAGTTTTCAGACACGTTCATATTTATGAATGTGTACACAATTGACAAGCAAATGACAATACAAATCTATTTAATACAGCTCAGCTATTCCATGAACCTAGACGGCACAGCAGGGGCAGTAAACACAGCCGCACTTGCTGTGTGCTAATCCACACCCCAATCCCATGACGTGTGTCCTCATTTTGTTGATCCTGAGGCTCTGAAAGGAGAAACAAATTGCCCAAGGCCACAAAGCTAATAATTCCTGGAGCTGGAATTTTCCTTCCTTTGATTATTAAACAATGATTCTAACTTTGCCTTTTTGTGCTGCTGCCTGGAAGCAGCCGTGGCCGAATGCAGGCTTCAAAGAAGATCCAGGCGGGACCATTAGGCTGGGCAGATTTCTGGAGATTTTACTCTTGAATACAATTCTTTGCTGGAGAATTTCCCGCTATACCGCTTCCCTCCCTGCCCCACCCCCACGGCCGCTGACCATATTTCCAACTGTTTTGAAGGAGGGATCTCGGAATCCCCCAAAATCCTCACCACAACATTAGGTTTTTTTTTTTAAATTATGACCTATTCTTCTAAATCTGATTTTGTGTGTTTCAGGCAGGTTGTCACAAATTCAGACAAACAGCAGGGACCCTGACCATCCAAAATTCGGCGTTCACGCGAAGTCTCCCCTCCCCCTTCCTGGCGCACACGAGACACTGCAAACAGCACTGACATGCACAGAGCGTCTCTGAGGAGCACTGAGCGAACCAGCCGAGCGGCTTCCTCCAGGATGGGGATTGGGGGACGCAGACACTGGGTGCTCACTATTTACTCTCTCGGTATTACCTGAATGTTTTTACCACAGGCACTTGTTACCAATTTAAAATAATTAAAAGAAACCACAAAGTTTAGTTCTTGGTTTGGGTTCAGCTAAACAACTTTTAGGTGTCCTTGACTTTCCATTTCTTTTCTACCTGTCTGAACACTGAGCTGCCTGCAAGATACCCAGGACCCTTGACAGACAAAAGCAGTGGAAGGATACAAAGTAACAACCTTCAACATTATTTGGTGTGAATTCACTCCAACAAAGAGCTTTTCTGCAAGGTCCCCAGAGCCCTGGCGGTTGTGAATGGCAAACTGGCTTTGACTCAAGTCGCTTCGTAGCGAGCAATCAACTAAACCCAGAGCTGTGCCCTATAAAACGCTGATGCATTTTGCTCCACTCTGAACATAATGAGCCACTTGAAGGAAACAAAATAGGATGGTGATGGGTTTTTTTTTTCTTAACGAGCTGTGGGATAATTATGATCATGTCGGTAACTTGACCCTGGAAGAAGCAGATTTAATTTTGGGGAACAATTGCAACAGTCTCACCTGGCTTTCGTCAGGTGAAAACACACACCCATAAAATACATTCAAATCATTTTGGAAAGGGCCACAATCTACAATGTTCTAAATATGTAGCCCCCAGGAGGGGTCCTCATCGTGACGGGAAATGTTGGTATAAAATATGTGACCTTATTTCCCTTCTCTGGTATCCAGCATCTTAAGGTGTCAAAGCAAACTGCAATGGAATCACAGAAAAACTTTCTGGAATTATGAAGTTGCATTCACATGTTGCCCAATAGTGGCTGATCGATATCAAACACCAAAATGAATTAAAGTTTCTAAAATATTTTTCTTATTTATCGTTCAGCTTCATATCTTTAGGGGAAGACCCGAACATTTTAGCCTATGCTATGACACAAACTGGCTGTGTGAGCTTGGCACAGTCACTCAACCTCTCTGTACCAGTTCTCTCCTCCGAAGAATAGAGATAATAACGTCTTCTTTACCTACCTCACGGGGCTGTGGGAATTTACTGAAATCATGTATACATGAACACTGCAAAAACGAGGAAGAATAGCTCAAATTCATCCTCAATGCACTGTGGGGTGCACAGTGCACACCGTCCAGCCCATAATGGATTCATCTGCTCTCCTCAGCAAGGCACCTGCCAAGACGTACAATTCTGGGCAACCGGGGTCACAAAGAGACTGTGTCAGTGGCGCCCCCTGCAGGTGCTCAGAACAGGAAACAGCAACGGACAGTCACTGGAGGCCAGCTCCAAGTTTGGGACGGGAGGCTGGAATTCCTCTGCTTCTCCACTGTTTGGGCTTCTGAAGCAGCCACCAAAGAGTATAATGGGCGAGCTTGAGCTGAGGGAGGCAGCTCGTAAGAAATCCCCTTTTGTACCTTCTGAAAGGGCTACGGAAAACGGGCCAAGAGATGCTCTCTGCCAACGCTGCTCAAGGTGTGGTCCGCAGGCCAGCAGCAGCAGCATCTCCTGGAAGTGTGTTAGAAACCCACATTCTGGGGCATTTCCTACCTACTGAATCAAAAACCGTGGTGGTGGCACGCACATATGTGAGTTTTTACAAGCTCTCCAGGGGATTCTGATTCTCACAAAGTTTAAGGACCACATGTACGTCTTTATACCAACTGGCTCCCTAAGTCACCCCTTCCAGAGCCGACAGGAGAGTCTGTGGAACCCCAGCTGCAGAGGGAGACAGACATTGCTCCACACCTGATTCCTGGGGGTAAAGAAAAGTTCATCTGAACTCCAGAAGAGGGGTACATGTGTGTGTGGGGTGTGTGTGTGTGTGGATGTGGTGTGTGTGTGCAGTGTGTGGGGGGTGTGTATGTGGTGTGTGCCTGTGTGTGCGTGTGCATGTGTGGTGTGTGTGTGTGTGTGTGTGGTGTGTGTGTGTGTTGGGAGGAAGGAGTTTCGTGGTCAGGAACGGGCAGGAGTCAGTGGACCCGGAGGAGGCAGCTGGCACGGCCCTCTCCCCCGGCCCACGCGGTCCCCGAGTTGTTTCTTGTGTGTTCCGGCTGTGGGTCCCCTCCTCAGGGCAGTGGGTTTGCAGGGCGGTAAAGGAGGACTTCTTGAAGACGTGCCCATTTCTATTCTTCCAGAAAAGAAACTGGAATAATTTATTAGTTTTCGAAACTAAGAGGCCCGGGTGCACCTTTGAAAGGCAGACAGAAGGCGCGGTCCCTCCTGCCTGCGCTGCGGCACTCCACGCCGGCCCAGTCGCGAGTTTTACAGGGAGAGCGGAGCGCGGGAAAGCCTCGTCACGAACGGGAGCTCTGCTGGGGGAGGCTCCCCAAACAAAGACCTGGGAATAAACCTGCTCCTAGAGGAAACCTCAATTTCCAGTGAATTGCTCAATTTACACTACAGGACTCTAATAGTTTCTAACGCTGTTTTGATTGACAACCCAGATGAACAATTCCTGGGTCCCGCCCACTGCTCTCTCTCCTGGCAGAACTGACAGGCTGGCTCTCCTGACCCCTCCTGAGGCCTGAATCTCATTTAGCCCAACCCTCAGAGTCACCCTTAGTGACCTCTGCTCCTGGGAGGAATAGCTTGGGCATCAAAATGAATCTGGATCTGCTAAATGCAAGTTGCAGTCCTCCACTTAATGCGGTCAGGTCTGTGACATCTTTAATTGTCAAGGTCTTCTTCCTTCATTCTGGAGCTCACACTGACAGACCCAGGCCATGGCCTAAGGGGGTGCACCTGGCTTTTCTGTAGAATGCAGGCTGGTCTGCCCCCGCCCAGCCCATGATGCGTAGACCTGCATGGAGCCTCTAGAATCTGGGGCAGGAAACGTGTTGTGTGGACCTCTCTCAAACTCACCGACTCAAACATCACCACTTCTGAAATTCAGCTTTTCTCTTGGTTGGTTTAAACGTTAAACAATTAAA